ATGGCTTGTTTAGTCATGGAACCTCATGGCTTGCCTAGTCATGGGGCCCGCGGCTTGAGTAGTTCGTGGGGTCATAAAAACGATTTCACAAAAGTTAATGAATGATTTCTTAAGCAAAGAGATCTTGTGAACTGGTAATAAAGTCTATTGCTGTAAGCCTAGATAGGATGCGGAGAGTGCATCCTCGGGGGCAGAACCCGAAACTCGGTCCGGGTAGGCGAGACACTTGGTTAGGTAAGTAATTTGTACTAATTACTTGCTGAAGCCTGTAAAACAGTTATTTACAGTTACATTTCCTTTGAGAAAAAGGATGCGAGATTTCGGCTGTTCTGTCGGGACTGAACGTCTTATTTATTTCCCTCGCTCTCTTATTATTCATTTATTTATAACGTTTATTTCAAATTATATCCTACTGGGCCTTTCGCTCACGTTTTATGTTTTAAATGTATTAAACCCCTCCCAGGAGATTCTAGGAATGGTGCACAGTAGCTGGATAATTGTTACGGAGCAGCTGAGTTGTGCTGCTGTTATTCTGTAGTTTAATTTATATTTTAATTCAGTCGAGTGGGGTTCGTCTGGGAATCTGCTTTATTAACCTCTAATTGAGCTCCACGTCACCCACCCCGTTTGGGGGGCGTGACAAAGGTGGCATCAGAGCAATAGGTTAGGCTCGAGATTCTGTAGTTTAATTTATATTTTAATTCAGTCGAGTGGGGTTCGTCTGGGAATCTGCTTTATTAACCTCTAATTGAGCTCCACGTCACCCACCCCGTTTGGGGGGCGTGACAAAGGTGGCATCAGAGCAATAGGTTAAGAAACCACATGATTGAACATACATGTGTGACATATGTTATCCACTGAATAGTCTAGTTTCATTTCAGTTAAAGGAAATGGCGCCTCACTGTAGGCCCGCTAATCAACCGGCACAACAGAATCAGGGATTTCTGGATGCCACGTATGCTGCCTTTCAAGGCATGGCCACTAGAGCTCAAAATGAGCGGCCGGTTGAGGATAGGAAGCAAGGGTACTTCTAGAAATTTAGGCGTGCGCCTATCCCCTCGTTTAATAGTGAGGGAGGACCCCAGGAGGCAGAGTTCTGGTTAGACTCCATAGTCAAGCATTTGAATACTATGGGAGTTCTAGATGAATACTGGGTGGAATTTACGGTATAAAAGATGGAGGGTTTAGCAAATACCTGGTGGAAACTGCTTGTTCCCGAATCGAATTCGGGTGCGGAAGCGTGGGGATGAAAAACAGCGGATCGTGTATAACAAAATTTTTCATAAAACTTTTGAGATACTCTATAGATTATATTAATTTATGCACGAATAAATTAATCACATTAATTTACATCATTCAAGGATCAACCGAAAAATACCTGGAAGCCGACTCGGATGATAACTTGAATTTCTTTGACCACGAACAGTCCTTACTCCAAGCTTTGTGTTTAGAATACCAAAGTCTTCCACGTCAATTCCTTGATTCCACGTAGATGTGTGTGTGGGCACACATGAGACAAAACAGGTTTCTTAAACACTCGAATTTCCACAAACACCAACGCATGCACGATGTGGAATTTTTGGAGAAAAATATTTTGTTCTCTTTTTC